ATGCAGGTGATATATATATATATATATATATATATATATATATACATACATACACACACATACACACATATATATATATATGATAACTCATATACTACTTTATGATTGAAAGGCAGTCTTTTATATTTACTAAAGAACAGTTAGAAATCTTAATCATTCTTACCAGGTTTTCTTGTTTCCGAACAAGTTCTCAGGTCAAAAAGCTCAGACTAGGCACCACTGGCTTATGCCTATAAACCTAGCTACTCAGGAGGCTAAAATCTGCAGATCACAATTCAAAGACAACCAGGCAGGGCAGTCTATGAGACTCTTATCTTCACTTAGGCAGCCAAACTGGAGTTGTGGCTCAAGTGGTAGAATGCTAGCCTTGAGCAAAAAGTTTCAAAGACAGTATCCAGTCTGTAAGTTCAAGCCCCAGTACCAAACCAAAGACAAGAGAGAGGGGTGGGAGAGAGAAATGATGCTTTGGCTCAAAGTGATAGAGTACTAGTCTCGAGCACAAAAGCTCAGGGATAGTGCCCAGTCCCTGAATTCAAGTACCAGGACGGGCACAAAAAATAACTAAAACCCAAGCTTTCTATTAGACATTCTTCTATCTATATGTTAAACACATTATGAGTCTAGGGTGAACAATGACCTAGACTTCTTAAATATTCAGTGTTTTCCTTTAAGTCCAACCTGAATGCTTCGTACATGTTCACCTTAAAGTCCTAAAATAAGTTTGCCTTTCCCACAAAGTAAAATAACCCCCAGCTTCATAAAGGTCATTTATCATTTTATACCACATGTAAGTGTATTTAGAATTTCTGGCTGGTTGATTCCTAGGCAAAATATTATTTTTAAAAAACATGAAACTAAGTATAATTTTTTATCTAATTCTTACAAAAAGGAAAAGAAAAAAATTGGTTTAGTGCTCCATCAAAGTAAATATATCTTACATTTTTCACTCTCCTATCAGTCTCTTCTTGCCTGTAAAGAAAAAGAAAATATCTATTAGGCAATGTCCATGGATTTTCCATTATTAGCTGAAAACTCCTTTTTATTTTAAGGTTCTATGATAAGGTTCCAGAACAAATGATAATTTTTCCATAGCCACTGATACAATTAAATACATTGGTCACTCTCTACCAAAAAAAAAAAGGTAATTTTTGATGCATTTTATCTATTATAGTCTGACACTTTAAAAAGTAATTCATTGACAGTTTGCTCCAGGAAAGTTAGAATGTGTTTGTGACTTTAACTGAGCATCACTGTCCCACAATACTGTGAAATTTGGGAAATTATGTAATCACTTAATCACAATTTAAAATTTTTTTAAGTAATTCATTTTAAGCACTGCTTAAACCCAATTGGCAGTTTAAAAACAAAATCAGTCTGTGTTCATGACAGGAAATTTAAGATGCACAAAAAAAATCTTTAACAGGAGGATAAAAACAGTTTTGCACTGACTTTCCCCCGCATTGTTCACGAGGGGTATTGTCCAAGTTTCCAAGAGATTCCTGTTCAGAGACCATGACTGCACAGAAGTTGAAAAGCTCAGTTTTTAAAAATATAGCCATGTAAAAAATAAATATATAGCCATGTAAACTGGGCTTTTGTTATTTTGTCTCCAATTAAGGAGCAAAAAGCCAGAAGTGGGGGTATGGCTCAAATAGAGCACCTGCTTTAAGAGAAAAAAAAGTGTGACTACAAGTTCAAGCCCCTACCTACCAAAATAACCATGAACCTCCACCTGAAGAAACTGCACAATGTTACAAAACTCATCGGACTCTTGCTTGCCTGTACAATATTTATAGAACAAGCTGAGAGAGATGTCACCTTGATGTTGAAGAGCCAACAGTATGCCATTTGTACAAAGACATAGGTCACATTACGAATGTTTTACATCGTGATACACACACCATCAGTGAACAAATGGCCTCTAGAATGGTTTCTCAGCCTAACCAGAAGTGGTATAAAGAAAAATGTACACCACATACATACATACACATATTCCTCTTTTTTTTGTCAGTCATGGGGCTTGAACTCTGGGCTTGGTGCTGTCCTTATGCTCTTCAGCTCAAGGTGAGCGCTCTACTGCTTGAGCCACAGCGCCACTTCTGGTTTTCTAGTGGTTTATTGGAGATAAGAGTCTAACGGACTTTCCTGCCCAGGCTGGCTTTGAACAACGATCCTTAGATCTCAGCCTCTTGAGTAGCTAGGATTACAGGCATGAGCCACCAGTGCCCGGCTACATATTCCTTTTTATAGTACAAACATAAACCAAAATGAACTTAAGAACAAGGTATACCTCCCACTCACAATTTTTTCTTTTTTCAATCATGGGGCTTTTTTTTTTTTCCAGTCTGGGCTTGGGTGCTGTCCCTGAGCCTTTTAGCTCAAGGCAAGTGCTCTACCACTTGAGCCACAGTACCACTTCCAGTTTTCTGGTGGTTATTTGGAGATAAGAGTCTCACGGACTTTCCTGGCCAGGCTGGCTTTGAACTACAATAATCAGATCTCAGCCTCCTAAGTAGCTAGGAATACATGTGTGAGCCATCCACCTGGCTTACCTCCTACTCATTCTCTAAAATCATTTCACCAATAAAATTCACCAACTCTCACACTAGTGGGAAGTATATAAATTTGTACATTTATATTCTTATCTCACTTGTATCTATTTAAGCTAAATATATTCATATTCTATGACCCAGGAATTCTATTCCTAGGTAAGGGGCTGCCAGCAGTGTTTATCTTTGTTTAGCTAGTCATAAACAAGAATATTTATAGCAACATTTAGATTAATACAAAAATCTGGATCATGTGCTTAAGTCTGAAACAGTGGGAATAATTATGGAATATGTACATGATTAAATATAATAGAGCAAAAATGAGGATGAGCAACCTACAACTACATTCAACCATATGGTTCAGTCTCAGAAATGATGAGTAAAAAGAAAAGCTAAGCACAAGAGTACAGATTATATGAATGGAATGAAAGTATAAAAACATGCAAAACAAAGATGTGCTACAAATGAGGACAGTGATTATCTTTGTGGGGGAGAATCATAGATAGAAATCATGGGCATGCTAATCATTTGTATTTTTATCTGGAAGCTGGCTAACCTAACTGCGTTCAGTTCCTAAATAAATCTTTGAATTTTACAGTTTTAAGTTTGTGATTTACAAAGTATTATATATACTCTATAATCTATTATATAACATTATATAATAGTACATATCACTAATTAGTATATATTATAGTTATGTGATATATATTATATATTAAATACATATGTATGTGTGTAAATATATAAATATGCATACGTATACATAAATATGAATATATAAATATATTAATGTAAAGTTCATATAGGTTATCTATATTATATATGTCATATATATTAATATAGATTATACATACTATAATTCACAAAAGTAAAAATTTCACATGCAAAGGATTCAACTTATCTTCAGTAAAATGAAATCATCTTGTAAAACTTAATAGTGTTTTATTTTAGAAGACATAAATCATACAGAAACTGACAATGATATGAGTGGTTAGATTAACAATTAACACATATACCATAATATCAAGTTACCTTAAAAACACACAAAAAATCAATATTCAGTACAAAGCTATATTGGTCCCATAGTTATCCCATTTTCATAAGAACCTAAAATAGGACTTATTAATAAAGAAGCTCTCTTGAATCCCTGAGCTCCTTTCCACCACCCTCAATAAAGGCCAACACACTATTCTCTTTTGGTATCATGATATAGCAATCATAGGAAATACAAGCCTATTCTGTTAGACACAAGAGCAGTGACCTTGCCATTATTGCCCTTCATTCACTTTACATTCCCTTCTAAATATGAGCATTTACAACGTGCTTTTTGGACATGGTGATATATCGGCCAGCCAAATGAGTGCCCTATCACTCAAACATGACGTCAAGAATTCAAGTGGTCAATGATTTATGGGAATAAAGAGCGCTCTCCTCTCTCTCTCTCTCTCTCTTTCTGCCTCTCTCTCCTCTCTGCCTCTCTCTCCTCCCTGTTACCCTCTGTCTCTCACTCTTGTTCTCCTCATCTCCCTGTCTTTCTCTCTGTCTCTTTCTGTGTCTCTCTCTGTGTCTCTGTCTCTGTCTCTGTCTCTCATCTCTCTGTCTCTGTCTCTGTCTTTCTCAACATCACTGCTTGAAGTCAGGAAACAGGCAACAACTGGCCTGGAATAGCCAGCCACAGGGCACAACCCCAAGTCCTTTTAAATAGAACAGACCTGCGGGTAACAAGAGCTCTAGGAGCCTGCCAAGCTACTGCACAATCCATCAGGACCAAAAATAAGGCAGTGTATCTCCAAAGTTGAGTAACTCACTCAAAGCACGTGTGTCCCTATTGGATAGGGCATAATGCCATGCTTTAACAAGACAGGTAAGCTGGGTGCCTGGTGCCTCACACCTGTAATCCTAGCTGAGATCTGAGGATAGCAGTTTGAAGCCAGCTTGGACAGGAAAGTCCATGAGACTCTTTTCTCCAAATAACCACCAGAAAACTGAAAGTGGTACTACGTAGCTCAAAGTGATAGAGCGCTAGCTAGCTCAGGCAAAGTGTCCAGGCCCTCACTTCAAGCACCACAACCAACCCCGTCTTACATACACACTCAAAAGCCAGGCAGTTAGAGTCAAATCTGGTTCCCCACTGCCTGTATTAATTTGTGCGATTTCCTTGACACTCAAAGCTTCAACTTCTTTCTGGTAAATTGTGAAAGTAAGGATAAATTGTTCCAGATTAGGAAGAATTGTCCTTAAAGTCGCTAGTTTACAGTGATCTGCTGATGAACGTTCATCAGTACAGACTAAGAACCAGTCCCTCCTATGCCCACTCTGCCCCATAACCTCCACTGTGCTAATGCTAAATGCAGAAACTGTCATCAAAACCTACCTGCCTACAACTCCCTCACTTCATCCTGTCCCATTTTCTTTTTGCTTTTATATTTATAACCATTTATTACAGGCACATTCGGGGGGTCGGGGGAGGTTGCTTTGTTTTTTGTTTTTGTTTTGTCTTTTGCACCAAAAATCCAAAAAGGTTTCTGTTCTGGTCTACTGCTATATCCCAAGAGACTTATGACAGGGTTTACCCACTCAGGTCACATAAAAACATTCATTTACAATGCCTAATAACATGGCACACAAATGTTCTCAAACATTGGTTGGATACATATATCTGACTTACACAAACATAAGTTGAGAGGGGGAAAGCCTAAAATGATTTAAGAAAAACAAAACAAAGAAAATACAGAAGATCTTCAAAAATCACATAACATCAAAATAAACCATTAATTTGCATTTGCTTTCTTAACATATATCCAATTTTAATTAGGATAATACATTGATATTCATAATAGGCTGCTTTAAACCTGTTATCTTTAAAATTGCAATAAAAAGTACTCCTTTTAATCATATATCAATGAGTTAAAAATGAATAAGATAGATACAAAAACAAAGGCCAGTTTGAAGAAAGTAAGCACAAAACTTAAATGCTATTCTCTCATGCAAAAGACCAGAGAATCTATACCTGCATCAAACCCCAAATATACTGTTAAAATGGATAAGTCAATAGTATTCAAAAATAATAGGGAAGAAAAAACTATCCTGAATACTCTGACAACCCTTATTCTAACATTTTTGGATCATACTCAAACATTTAAATCCAATGCTTCATTGTGACTGCAAAATACCCAATACAGTTTAAGTATTCCATGCTACTAATTGAATACTGGAGTTTTAGTCATTCTTTTACCACCTGACAAAAGACCAAAGATACATGCCCTTCACTCACCAGCTGTCACCACCCGATCCTTACAGCTCTTCGGTATTCATAACCAGAAATTCTAAGGTTGAATCTCCTTATTTCACTCAAGAGATTTAAAAATACTCATGTGAGTGTATCAAGTCATTTCTAACAAAAGGTCCAGGGAAATCACG